TCTAGGAAGTGCTGTTTCTATGAGTCTTTGCACGGATGCATGGTATGACACAACACCCAACAAGAATGAGTACAAATACTACGACGGCAAGAGAAGTAAGAATTGAGGCTATGATTCCTTTTGATTTACCGAACCATTTTTCTAGCCACCCTGTGTAGGGATCAATTACCCCTGAGTTTTTGGCTAACTCATTGGACGGGGCAGTTAGACCTTGCAGTGCCTTTGTTATGCTTCCATCAGGGGCAGTGTTGTTTGGGAAGAAGGTACAAAATTGAGTTTTAATAATGATGTAAACTCCTCCTCTTTCATGTCTAAGGCTATTCTACTTTTCCAAGCCATCTGGCTAGTAGCCCTTAATTGCTCAGCTATTCCTTTAACAGCATCTCTAGTGTAGTTAATAAACCACTGTGATTGTCATAAATGCAGTTTATCCAATCTACGTTTTTATTAATTGTCACCCACCAAAATGTTGACTCACATCCTGCAGCGATTTCATTTCAGGCTTTAAATTTATCTGATGCTTCTCGTGGACTTCCAATTGCATCTAAATGTGAGAGTTGAAAGACCTGTGAGGGGCTTTCCTGGTTTTATGACGTTGTATTTTTCCTCTCTGTGGTTGATGAAATGTCAGGGTGAAAGGGAAAGCCAATTGGACTAGAGCACAAGTGCCGCTCCAGTTACTTGGGAGAGTATCCAGTAAAGGTCAACTACGATACCACCATACATTTGCTCGGGGATGAACAAGGGCTGACTGGTAAGCTCTTGAAAAAGTTTTAAGTTCACTGCATCCTTTCGGGTCTCCAAGTAATGCTAAGTTTCCTCCTTGTCATGAGCAACACAAAGTGAACTTAGTGTCAGGAGATGGAAGCTGGATGGCCCACAGGGTGTCAAACTTTGGGATATAGCAGAGAGAGAGTTTGGCACAACTTGTTACCCCAGGCTGTGGGATGTTGGAAAAGAGCTACCATATAGTCCATGCCTACTTGCTACCTCTTAGCTATGAGAAAAAATGTTACAGGTTATTGGAATAGTACCACTGGAATGGAACAAGTGCAAAGTTACCATGCAGAAATACAGGAGTGGCAATCAGAAAATCTTGGCTAAACTGTGGTGATGCCTAATAGATCATGGATTTCCTAGGGATGACAGGTGGAGAGACAGAAAAAGAAAGAGACGTCATTCTGCTCTGAGTCCCACTCTGGAGAATCACGGACTTTTCGGTTTTCATATCTAAGTCTGTTCACAGATCTAGGTCCTATTGATTGAAAGGAAAACTAGATACATGCAAGTATATCAAATTAATTTCTTCCAAATTTCCCCACAGAAACCTATAACCATTTGACAAGGCAACTTGTCCTAGGTGATTTTAAAAGACTGTTAGGTGTGAGGACTCAACTGACTGCTATCAGGGGACCTGAAATGTCATCTTAGACACCTGGGGAGGAAGGGCACTTATGGAGGGCAGGTGTTAAACGGAGTTTGATCCCAGTCTGGTTGCTCAGTGGGTCCACTGTGTCTATAGACTGTCTTACAGTTATTTCCATTGCCAAGATATCTATAATCAGGATGGACATACTTAGACACTGATAGAACCTTACATTGCTTCTTTGACCTTTGCAATAAAAGCCAACTTAAAGTGCCAACTGCAGCTTCTGAAACTTATGTCTCCACTTTAAAGATAACAAATAATAAATATTTCAAAGGAATTGAAGAGATTTGACGCTGGTGTCAAATATTTAAGAGATGTAGGAAAGTTAGCAGCATTTTTCTGATCAATTCATATGTTCGATCTCTGTAAAAAAAAGTAAGATCATGGTAGACAGTGGGAAGCTACTATAACTTTAACTAAATTATAACTTTGATCATTGCTACTGCATCAGATGCCAAGAACTATGAAGGATCTGAGACTTTATTCCACTTATAAGCAAATAAGTTGGCTTGCCACAATTTCATGGATGATAGCAGAAAACGTGATTCTTGGGTTAGAGACAAATGACAGTTCATTACTCACAGAAATAGCAATGGCCAAAGCACCAACATTTGCACAGTTTTCCAAATGTCAATTCACAGGGCTCACAGTTGGTGTAAGGGCCAAATAACTTCTGAGCACTAAATAGGATTTGTTACAGGATAGGGATCTCAAACTTAGGGATTATGAATCTTTTATAATGGGCATTAAGTATGCTTGAACTTTGCCTTGATGGGAGATATTATCTTTCTTATTTTGGCCTGTAAAGAAACCTACTATTTTCTTTGAAAGGGGATGTTATCTCTATCTTTGTATTAGGTCCTTCTCACACTGCTATAAAAAAAAAATACCTGGCTGGGTGCAGTGGCTTACGCCTATAATCCCAGCACTTTGGGAGGCCAAGGCAGAAGGATCACCCGGGGTCAGAGTTCAAGACCAGTCTGGCCCATCTCTACCAAAAAAAAAAAAAAAAACAATTAGCCAGGCATGGTGACACACGCACGTCACAGCTACTTGGGTGGCTCAGGCAGGAGAATTGCATGAACCTGAGAGGCATATGTTTCAGTGAGTGGAGATCATGCCACTGCATTCCAGCCTGGGTGACAGCGTGAGACTCTATGTCTCTCTCTCTCTCACACACACACACACACACACACACACACATACACACACACACAGAAAGAAAAAAGAAAAAGAAACATACCTGAGACTGGATAATTTTATAAAGAAAAGATTTTTTTTTTTTTTTGAGATGGAGTTTCACTCTTGTTACCTAGGATGGAGTGCAATGGCACTATCTCGGCTCACCGCAACCTCCGCCTCCTGGGTTCAGGCAATTCTCCTGCCTCAGCCTCCTGAGTAGCTGGGATTACAGGCACGCTCCACCATGCCCAGCTAATTTTTTGTATTTTTAGTAGAGACGGGGTTTCACCATGTTGACCAGGATGGTCTCTATCTCTTGACCTCACGATCCACCCACCTCGGCCTCCCAAAGTGCTGAAATTACAGGCGTGAGCCACCATGCCCGGCCCAAAGAAAAGATGTTTAATTGGCTCTTGGTTCTGTAGGTTGTACAGGAAGCATGGTGGCATCAGCTTCTGGAGAGGCCTCAGGGAACTTACAATCATGGAGGAAGGCAAAGGGGAGTGAGGCATTTCACACAGCTAGAGCAGGAGGAAGAGAGAGTGAGAGGTGGTGCTACATGCTTTTAAACTACCAGATCTCACAATCACTGATTCAAGAACAGTTACCAGAACAGCATTGAGGAGATGGTGCTAATCCATTCATGAGAACTCTGCCCCCGTGATCCAGTTACCTCCTACCAGGTCCCACCTCCAACTACAATTAGACATGAGATTTGGTGGGAAGACAGATCCAAACCATACCGGTCTTCCAAGGCTGTTTGCTCTACAAACTTAAACTTGAAAATATGAAATCGAAGACAGTCTAGAACAAAGAAAGCCAGTTCTTATACTCACAAGAGATGCAGAGACATTAGATACCCATTCAGAATTGACTTTCATTAGCAAATGTATTATCGTTACTGAAGCATATTAACCCAGCTACTGGCATTTCGTATGCTATTATTAAATTAGTGATCCCTTTAGGATAGAGGATCAAATACAATTTGCCTTTACATGACAGTGTTAGTGGTCCTAGTCTCTTTTGTAATATAGTTCTCAATTATCTTGACGCTGTTTATCATTTTTACATTCTGTTGAATATCACACTGGTCCACTTTACAGGATAAGATCATTCTGATTTTTCTCATAGCTAAGACAATTATTTTCCCATTGAATTACCTTGGCATCTTTATCGATAAAGCAATTAAATATGTATTTGTTAGTTTCTTTCTAGATTCTCTATTTATTCCATTGAATTATTTATTTAGGTCAATACTATAGTCTTGATTACTGCAGTTTTATAACAAGATGTGAAAACAGGTAGTATAAGTCCACAAATTTTGTTATTTTTCAAAATTGTTTTGATCGTTCCAGTATTTGCATTTCTATATTAGATTTCAAATCAGTTTGTCAATTTCTACAAAAGTATGTATTGGAATTTTTAATGGAATTGCATTTATTACATTTATAGATCAATTTTGAGAGAATTTTTCTTTTGAAAATATTTGTTCTTGCAATCCATGATCACAGAATGATTTTCTGCTTTGGATTGTTTTTCGTTTCTATGAGCAATATTTTGTAACATTCAGACTAGAAATCTTGTCTGTCTTTATTAAACTTTTTATTAAGAATTTTTTGTATTTTGATGCTAAGGCAAATGGATTTTTGAAATTTTATTTTCTAATTGTTTGGTGCCAATATGTAAAATTATAAATGATTTAAATGTATTATTTTTGGTCATTGCTTTGCAGACTCTTAGAGTTTTTATTTAGACACTTATATCCTATAAAAAGTTTTGCTTCTTTTCTGATCTGTGTGCACTTTATTTTCTTTCCTTCTTACTGCACAGCTGAATATCACATAGTAAAATGTTGTATAAAAATTGAGATCCTTTCCTTGTTCTCAACCTCAGAAGGAAACCATGCAATATTCCACCAGTAAGCATGATGCTAATTTTTGTTTTCCTTTATGGTATTGAGGAACCATCCTTCTTCAATTCCTAGTCGGTTGAGAGTTTGCTTGTTTTTTAAACAGTAAATTGGTATTGCATTTTTCTCAAAAGTGTTTTTTATATTTATTGAGATGCTCACTATGTTGAATTACATTGACTGATTTTTTTTTTTTTTTTTTTTT